ATCAAGTAATTTTGCAATAAAGTCCTCCTCCTTATATTTTGAGACCTCATATAGAGGAAATTATGTAGTATAATTTTTGTGTATTTTGAATATTATGAACTAAATGTAATATTATGTTGTTCTGTTGGATATTGTTGTATGTTTATTTTGAATGAAAAGTTAATTTTATACTTATATTCTCCATTATTTATCTATCTTGAATCAGTAAGTGGTATAAAAATAATGTTTCTCAGTTCCTTATAAAAAAGGGTCGTGACAGAATAAGCCAACTTGAATAAAAAATTCAATGTTAAACTTAGCCATGTATAAAGTTCAAGAAAAACTTTCCTGCAACATAAGACTTTTTCTAGGCTTAAGTTGAAACAAAATAAAAACATATTGCCTATGACGACCGAAGAGGCATGTTTTGAGCTCTTCTTTCATTATATTTCAAACTAGTTTATGCAACCTATTATGAAATTGCTTCCTAAAACTTAATTTGTGGTACTAAATGTGTTTAAAAAATACCACTTTGCATACTTAATGAAATATATTAAAAGAATATGGTTTTACACATCTTTGTACAAAGACTCTAGAATCAAACTAATATATGCTTATCTAACTTTTTTTTGTAAGTTTTAACATATAAATCACTAGATCATTGTTCTTCATATAAAAAAGCTAAAAACATACTTATAATAATAATTTACCATTCCAACAGTTTTTCCCACGTTTTTTTAGGAATTAAAACACTTTGTACCCTCTTCCAACATTTAATAAATATCTAAATTATTTTTGTTACAATCATTTTCATTTGAAAGAGTATCATAATTATAAATGAGTAAACCCCTATTTTAGTCTTTGAGAGAGTTTGTGTCAAACATTTTAGTTCTTGAAAAATTAGAACTATCACATTAGTCCTGACTTCTATCTCCATTAGGCATTTAAGTCCCTAGACCCAAACGTTATTAATAGACAGTAACAAAATATTGACATGTCACGTTAAGTGAAACATGTCATTGATTACGTGGCAAAGTGATGCTGACGTGTCACGTTAAATGACACGTATAATTGATTATGTTGCAAAAACAATATCGTATGTAATATAGTATATGTTTTCAATTCATTTTAGTTCTTGAGATTATAACTCGTTGAACATTTTAGTCCCTGATATTGTCACTGACAGGCATTTTAGTCCCTGAGATTATCATCGACAAGCATTTTAGTCCCTGAGATTATGGGTTGTTTGATGACTCATATTTTCTTACCACATTTATAGTCTTATTGCATCCTTTACATATCCTTTCATTCCTTTATTTCTTCCATTTAGTGTGTTTTTGCATTTTCCACATTAATTAGGAATTTCTTGTAAGTACTCATGTTTTGCTATTTTGACCTTTGTTCACTAATTTGGCCATAATTTTTTATGTAGATATCCTTTTTGGCTGATTCTTTTTGCATTGGATTCCTTACTTCCGGGGCTTCAATTTGGACATATGGATCATGCTGTTTGGAGTTCAAAACTATTTTCTAGGAATTTTAGAAGTTTAAACTTTTAGTTTGACTTTTGTTTTGATTTTGTATTGCTTGCATTTTTGCGGTTTTGGTTGTATTTATTTTCGGCCTAGCCCTGGCCCATATTCTTTTAGGACTAGTATTTATAAAGGTTAGGGGCTGATTTGGAAGCACCTTTAATTCATATTTTTTGTTTTTTCAGATTTTGTAACTTTCCCGCTTCCAATAAACCTCTCGTTTTTTTACCCATTCTTCTTCTCTTGCACTTTTACAATTCGAGTTCATCATCCTCTGCATTTACAATTGAAAGGCGTTTAAGATTCTGCAATCTCAAGATGTTTTCTTCCACGTTTCTTCCTTAATTACGTTGCCAAAGTCTGGATAGCACTTGTTCAAGACGTTTATGATTGCTCCAAGTTTGTTTTCTGATCTTGCGTTTTGCGATTGCATAGGAAGTATAATTTGATTGAATTGTGCCTCTCTTTTTTGATCGTATAATAAGCAATTAATTAATTGATTTGTTGTGCAAAAGAGATTTAAGCAAATTCGGTTTAATCACTTTACGTTTGTGTTTGTGTTCTGGATCTCGATTTCCATTTGCAATTTTCGTTTGATTGATTACTTGCATTGCAATTTACATTTCATTCTCTGCAATTTAATTCTTTGCGTTTAATTCTCTGCGTTTAGTCACAAAACTCTCCAAACATACAACCTTTTCTGCATAATTGATATTAAAACAATGTGCATTTGCATCCTTGTGAGAGATGACCTAGGTTGCTCCCTAAATTGCATGTTTGTATGAGGAATCTAGTAACTTTTGATACTAGTGCGATATGGATATCATTGTTCACAACTAAAGAGGTTTTATACCTTCTCATCATAACCATTCTTAACCTCCTTCTCCCTTTCTCTTTCTTATTCTTAGCCACTCTCTCAATTGTCCGATACTTTCTTCAAAGCCTCACATGGTTCCATTAGCACTCCCAAAACCCTTCTTTTTTCTCTTACACCTCACCTTTTACATCAATCCATGCGTTGTCTACATTCTTGTGACTATTATCAATGTCACTACACTGGTTTAGGAGCCAAATGATGGGCAGTACTGTCAACGTCAAAGCTTAAGGAAGATGAAAAAAATGCATATCAATGCAATGGCTTGAATTAGAACACATATGGAAGCAACATCTGCATGGAAATTAATCAACAATCCGTGATCTCAGGGACTAAAATGTCCGTCGATAATAATCTCAAAGACTAAAATGTCTAACAAGTTATAATCTCAAGGACTAAAATAAAACAAAAGCATATACTATTGTATATACAACGTCATTTTTGCCATGTAATCAATCACACGTGTCATGATGACAATCTCAGGGACTAAAATGCCTGAAGAGTTATAATCTCAAAGACTAAAATGAAACGGAAACATATACTATTTTATATACGATGTTGTTTTTGCCATGTAATCAATTACACGTGTCACTTAATGTGACATGTCAGCATTCTGTTATTATCTATTAACAACATCTAGGTCTATGGACTTAAATGCTCGATAAAGATAAAAGTGAAGGACTAACGTGACATTTTTAATTATTCGGGAGTTAAAATGCTTGATGCAAACTCTCTCAGGAACCAAAATGAGAGTTTAGTAAATTAAAAATTGACTCGGATTTATTTGTAGTCCCTATATGAACTGTGTAGACATGCTAACCATCAAAAGATTGATTATCAATTAAAAGTATACCAACACAAGGCTCAACATAATTATGTGCCTTGAAAACCACCTGCATGAATGACAAAAAACACTTGATTAAAAATGGATAAATATGAAAAGTATTTCAATATAGGGTGTGCTTCGATAAGCATTTGACCAAGCACTTTTATAAAACAAACTATTTTTCATTGTTTTTATTCTAGCTTATGAGAATAGTAGTAAGGGTATGTTTGGTTGATATTATTTTTTTAGGAAATGTAGTTGCTGATTTTCAAAAGCTCTGATAAAAAAAGTAACAAAAGCAAGCAATTATTTCTCCAAAATTAGTTAAACTAAACACGCAATAAAACATATTGTTTATATGTAAGCATTGTTTTATTCAATCTTCAAAAATCACATTTAAATGAGCCCATATAACCATACTTGAAGTTAGTTGTTAACATTATTCACAGAATCAAAATACAATACAAAATGCATAGATGTGGCTTTATAGAATAATTGGGGCACAAGTTATAAACACACCTTCAAGAATGAAATTCAATCACACAAATCTCTAAACACACTCTTAAATCACAAATACTATATAACTTCTTAAGTAATTTAAAGACAACTTTGATAAGTGAGATTCACAAATAAAAGAGAAAAATTTGTTTAGCAGAGTAACAATTTTGCATTACATGATTTAGGGTTCATCACACAAAATAAATGAAAGGATTATGAAAATGAACAATGAACAATATCATATTCAAAATTGCAGGTAAGGGTGAAGATAGAATTTATATTCTTAGATTTGATTTGAGATATGAAAAAAAGTAGTGAATAATAATTTTTAAATATTAAATTAAAGGATCATTTAATAATAATATATAAATATTTTTAAAAATAATAAGCGAATAAGTTTTTTTAAATTTTTAAATATAAAATTAAATTTATACATTTAGAAAAGGCATTGTATGCCTCTCAACTGTGAGAATTCAATAAATTTTACTTTTAGAAAAATATGTAATAAAAATATATTAAATATTTCTTGAAATAAAATAATTAAAAATCTTATTAATAAAATCTAGTAAAATATTAAAAATAGAAGCTTTTTTATTTTGAAGTCACATACAACGAAATAATATTATTATATTTACCTAATATATCATGTTAATAGTTTTTAAATTTTTCCATATTCTCTTATATAATAATAATAATAATAATAATAATAATAATTTTTCTTTTATAAAATATTAAACACAAAAATGTATTTATTATTCTTAAAAATATTTAATATCATATTATTTAATAATTGTAATAATTTATAAATATTTTAAAAGTTTTAAAATATTCATATAAAAAATATTAAATTAAGATGGTATGTTTAACTTCTTAAAAATATTAAAAAAAACCTTTATGATAAATAGAAAACGTTTTTTTTTTATGTAGGATAAATAGAAGACGTTTACTTAATTGTTTTGATTGTAATGTTTTATATTTATTAATTCATTAAATAATAATATTATATTTTATATTCACTTCTTTTCCTATGATAGCATATATTCTTTTTATCTTTCTTTTTTCCACTAAGGGTAAAATGATTTTTTCAACCTAATATATAACAAAATTATGAATAAACCCGTCAAAAGTGTCATACATTAACCTTTAGTTATGATGACGTGTGCGCACATATCACGTTTTCACTTTCGGGAGTCTTCATGAGAAGAGGACCTACCCTCGTTTGTCCCCACCGTCCACTGATTAGTTTTCAGTTTTTGCCTATAAATAAACAAATTGCATCAAAATTTTAACTAAACAACGAAAGTTCATATCATTTCTAGTGCTTCGTAGATTTCTAATTAATTTCTTGTTACTTTAATTGAGAAAAAAATGGCTAAGGTAATTAAATTCTTTGAGTTGAACACTGGGGCCACGATCCCTTCCCTTGGGTTGGGTACTTGGCAAGCTGACCCTGGTGTTGTAGCCAAAGCTGTCACCACTGCGATTCAGGTACTATTCAATCTTTCTGTTTAGTGTTTTTTTTTTAATTTTTTAATTGGGGGTCTTTTTCTTAATAAAATACCTAAGGAAAATTTCTTCAGTGGTTTTTTATTTAATATTTTCTTACTGTATGTTTGGGCTAACATTTCACATTTCTGTAGTTTTGAATTTTCCGGGATTGAAGAGATAACTAACTTTGGTGATGGCTTAATGTTGTTGTTCAGGTTGGATACAGGCATATTGATTGTGCTGAAGCCTATAAAAATCAATCAGAGGTAAAATAATTCCAGTTAACAACCTTTTTATGATATGGGTTTAGGGTTCTTCTTTATTTATTTATTTGAATCTTGCCTTTGCTGTTGTGAGGTGTTTCAGTTGATGCTGTCTTACCTCATATTTTGTTAGAGTGGCTTGTATTTCAATCTTGTTTCAGAGAATAGCGAAAAACTGTCATATTTGCAACTAAATTTTTATTTTGACTTTTTTAATTTTTGCCTTCATAGATTGGTTCTGCCCTTAAGAAGCTTTTTGATGATGGTGTGGTAAAGCGTGAGGATTTATGGATCACTTCCAAACTCTGGTTTGTTTTGTTTAAAATTTCTTTTCTCTTTTTGAATGTTGAAAAAAGAAATGCATTTGTTTGGTTGGTGAATAAAGATCCTTTGCTTTCTTGGCTCTATCGTCAGGTGTACGGATCATGCTCCAGAGGATGTGCCAAAGGCATTGGATAAAACATTGCAGGATTTGCAACTTGATTACCTTGACCTCTATTTGGTATACTTCATCTTTATTGATATGTGAATGATTTTATGTTGGCATTTAGGTGGTAATCTAAGCACTCTAAACTCAAGTTATGGTTTCTCAATTATATGAAGTTCATTGTTATCAGGGTTTCATTTCATCCATTACCCTCTTCCTTCAAACAAACTAAGTTGAATTTTGTGTTGTAGATCCACTGGCCAGTCCGCATGAAAAAGGGATCTAATGGATTCAAGAAAGAGTATTTAGAACAACCAGACATACCAAGCACATGGAGAGCAATGGAGGCACTCTTTGACTCAGGCAAGGCTAGAGCCATAGGAGTGAGCAATTTCTCTTCGAAGAAGCTTCAAGATCTGTTGGATGTAGCAAGAGTGCCTCCTGCTGTAAACCAAGTGGAACTGCACCCAGGATGGCAGCAACCAAAGTTGCATGCATTCTGTGAATCCAAAGGAATTCATCTATCTGTAAGTATGGCAGACATATTTCACTTAAAAGAGTTAATATTCCTACAAAGACCAATGCTAGGAACCCAAGTTTTGACTTTTTAAAAATTAGCCAAATCACAAGAAATTTGAAGTGTGTTCAAGAGAATGCGTTGCAATGTCTAGAGCTAGTTAAAAACGATTTTGTTATGTGTTCAAATTAAATTGATGGTACCTCAAAAACCACTATTGATTCTTATAATTATAACTATATATATGATAAATTTCTGTTCAGGGATACTCTCCACTAGGCTCCCCAGGAGTTCTCAAAAGTGACATTCTTAAGAATCCTATTGTCAAGGAGGTTGCAGATGAACTGGGGAAGACACCAGCACAAGTTGCCCTTAGGTGGGGCCTGCAATTAGGTCATAGTGTACTTCCTAAGAGCACTAATGAGACTAGGATCAAGGAAAATTTTGATGTCTTTGACTGGTCCATTCCAGAAGACCTTATAGCGAAGTTTTCTAAAATTAATCAGGCAAGTAGTTTGGTACTTTACAAAATCTATTTTTTGGTTCTTTCTTTCCTATTGAAAGTTATTTCCTCTGCATCTTTTACATGTCAGCCTCACTAAGCTTGTGTGGCATAACAATAAAATTGCTAGATTTGTGCTGCCAAGTTCATTTTATGAATTAAAATCATGGAATTTTCTATTGCAGGAAAGGTTAGTTAAGGGTGATTTTTTTGTTCACGAGACTTATGGTGCCTATAGAACAACTGAAGACCTCTGGGATGGTGAACTCTGAGCAATATGCATCATTGAGATATTGACAAATACACTGCTTCTAGTGCAAGATTGATTCTGCTTTTTTATCTATTATTGCCATCTTAAAGCCACAAGTTGTAGTGATTGGAGTACATTGAGATTTTGTGAAGTGTTGGTATTGATGGTAACACAAAATAAGTAGCCAAGACTTATATTTCATCTATAATTATTGTATCTTTTCTTCAATATAATAAAATGAGTGCAGTGAATTTGTCAGGTCTAGTGGCCAAAGTAAATTGATATTCATATTCATATGGTAATTAATGTCAATATTGTGTTTATAATTATGTGGTGTACTTGATTTTCGAATGTAAAATGCGAAGGGAAAGCTTAAAATAGATGAATGAATGGAAGCCGATGAAGTTTTGTACAACAAATATTTTAATTCTCTTTTTTGTCAAAAATATTTTAAATCTCTAAATATTCTTTGGGATAAAAGTTTCTTTTGGGTTAGTTCTATTGAAAAATTTGAAGTTAAATTGTTAAAATTAAAAAAAAGTCGGAAAAAAAAAGGAAAAGGACAGTATACTTTTAAGAAAATTGATAATTATGTAAACCAAATTGATTGCTAAAATCTTTTATAATCTGAAATTAACGAAGTGAAAACATATCTCATTGCATGTGGGTGAATTTTTATCATAATCCTTCTATTAATATCAGTAAATACCTAAAAAATATCAACTTATTAGGAAATCTGATAAGAATTAAGGAAGTAAATTTCTTTTAGTTATCAACTCCTAATGTTAAGAAAATTATCAATTCAAAAAAAAAAAAAAAAAAACGAACGCTAATCAAATTTTTAAATATTCTTTGGGTGTTAATAATCTTTGTTGGGTTAGTTTTACTTATTTATAGTTACTCAACATCTTTTATTTCAAACTCTCAAAGTTAAATTGTTATAGGAATTGACAAAATAGTTTGAAAGTAAGGAAAGCGGAGCATACCTTACATGAAATCTAATAATTAAGAAAATCAAATTAATTGTTAAAATCCTTACAACTTAAAATTAACAAAATAGAAGTATTCTTATGGTGAATGGATCACTCTCAACAAATGCCTAAAATGTTGTAATATTATATGTTGAAAATGTTTGATACTCAACAAATGCTTAAAATGTTGTAATATTATATGTTGAAAATGTTTGATACATGCTAAGATATTTGATTAATGTTGGGAGCTATTTAGTTTTGTTGTGAAAATATATATATATATATATATATATATATATATATGGCTATGCTATTAAGACAGAATGAAAATATATATGTTGTGCTGTTTAGACTGAACGAAATTATGTATGGTTGTGTTACATTATATTGACTTGCATCATTTTAGAGTCGAGTTATGTATTTAAGTAGTTAGACATGTAACGATAGTAAAACATTAAGTTATGCTGTGTCTGGATCTAGATACCAGGATATATTGCTCTCAGATTAAAAATAGTTTCTTTTGAATTACTTAGACAGTGATACCAGTTGGAATTGAAACATTATATTTGCATTAGATGGGCTGAATTGTTGTATTGATATGCTATAATGACCGTACAGTGGTACATGAGCAGGTGTAACAGGTGACATGTCTACTTCTCATGCTGGAAAGTCTAGCTAAAGGATGTTGTGAGTTTAGTGAGATCTTGGAAGATTGTAATTTTATGTATTTTATTAGTCTAGATTAATTATCTACAAATGTAAGTACGAGATGTACATATTTGATAATTTTAAAAATTATGTAATTTGAGCTCCATGTAGAGCAACTGAAGTAAATATGTATACTTATATAAATTTTTGGATTATATGAAAATACCCTTGAAGCCTTATTATTTTGTTGAGACGTTGAATTTAATTTCTAAAAATTATTTTGGATTAAATGTGAATTATATTATATATATATATATATATATATATATATATATATATATAATCTCATAAATAAATTCACATAGGGAACAATGATATATGATGTTATTAATCCTTTGTAAAAGGAGTCATGACAAAGTACTTAAAAAATACAATAGATTAGTGTTTATATTTCTCTAACTTCCTTACAATTTTAGAAGGTTTTTTCTTTTTCATTCAAATTGGATTTTAGATAATGATGAGGTAAGTTCTACTAACATATACATGTTTGTCTTAAAAGGTGGTACAATTTCTTAGAAATTAACTAAATAAACATGCATAACAAGATCTATAGTGGAATCAAAATTCATTCCACTTAAACTTGCAAGTCAAAAATTATAATAGCTAAGAGGCCTAATGGTTGATATATCATTAAAGGGAGAACTCACACCACTTATTTCTCTCCACAGTGACCTAAAGCTACAATTAGTGCTGCTAGTAATAATACTTATAATGGTAAGAGAAAACATATAGACATGAGACATAGTGTTGCTAGCTACTTAATTAAAAAAAATGGTCATTATAGAGAGAAAAATGGTTCAATACATGACAAACAATCTTACTTGAGTGTATGAAAAGTGAAAAAAAATAAAATCTTACAAATCCTATTACAAAATGATTATCCAAAAAATTGTCTTGGATACATTAAGAGAGATGGACTTAAAGCCTTGAGTAGGAAAAAAAAACATGATGAATATTCAATTAGTGTTCAAATAAAGCCATATAAATATTCTTATGTCTTGCACTTCTCATTCTCATTGCATTTTGTAGTGCTTAATGTGAATGTGATCAATGAGCTCTTAATAAATACATAGCACATTATTTAGGTGGTACTATAAAAATGTATTTGATATATCTACCTAGGTGAATGTAAAGGTATAAGGCTACCTTTCATAAAAGATGTAGGCAATCTTTTTAGAGCAATTATGAGCAACCCAAAACGTAAGTAAAACCTTAAAGATTTATGAATAATTTATCGGATAGTTATCACAATTTTAAGAAAATGTTTTGAGTTTCATCTTGAGTTCATTAATTTAAAGAGAATATCACTTCTTGAACCAAGAGTACTGCCTCATTTTACTATATATTAATTCAATCTTAAAGACATTAACACTTAAACACAATATTTTCCTTTCCTAAAAAATAATCTCTAATCACTTGCTTGCTATCTATGAATTAATGTTAAGATAATGATCATCAAGTATAATAATTTCTTTACCAACAAATCACGCATATTGATTACTAATTATTATTTCATTTTTATTTTACGACGATAACAGTGCCTTTCAAATTGATTTTTGCATATTATATCAACTGCCTTTTGATCACGATGGCATTATATCCTTCTGCAATTTTGCAAATTGAATTGAAAACTTTTTCATTGCATGTGCTAAATTTCATGGACTTGGATATAAATTGGCAATGAGAAAAATATAAATTATTCCTTCACCTTTAGAGTTTTATTTATCTTGAGCACGTTTAATTTTTTTCTTAAAAAAAAATTATATTTTTAAAAATAAAATATAGTACAAATTTGTAAATAAAATATTTTACTACATGTCGATTGTAACGTCCAAAATTTTAACTATATGTTTTATGCTATTAATTGATTTTCTCGATTAATTTACATGAATAAGGTTAATAAGAGACTAATTGAATATTTATTAGAATTCAAATCTATGTTGATTAAGTAGACTAGAATTTTAATGAGAAATTGGGTGAATAAAAGATATCTGGTTAGAATAGAAGCCAGTATAGTTACAGTAATTTAAATTACCAGAATAAAATAACTTGGATTGAGGTGAAACCAAATTTGTTAAAAATCTAAGATCTATTAGTTTATATCATAAAAATTTCAGAGTCCAACTTTAAGTATTATTAGGTCACATGTATGATTCATGTTGAGTCTTTTGATTATTTATTTAATTACTTATATATGTGTATCATAATCATTATGATCTTATGTATTAAAAATGTTAGACATAAAATTTACTTTGCTTCGGACCATGTTTTCAATAATCATAATTGAAAGATTTCCTTATTGGTTTAACAACCCTCTATTTAAATAAAAATTGAAGCAACTGAGAATGAAAACGATGTCAACATAGAAGTACACAACCCTATTGAGTATTTTAAAAATTCTCACCCTACTTTGCTTCCATTCTAAATTGTCTTGTGAGGACTCATTAGGACTGCATTTTGATGACATGGGTCACCAATCTTTTTGTATGTAATGGTCCTTATATGTATTCCTGATTATATGTAAATAACATGGTGTTCTATATACATACATACATACATACATATATATATATATATATATATGTAGTTACTTTTTTGTAAAGTGTATGAATTAAATTAATTATTATGTTTATTCAGGTTATTTCATTTTCAATTTTTTTATTTTTGTTTTTATAACGTCTCTCTCTTTTATACATATGATAATTACTACTAAATCAACATGAAATGATTGAGCAAAATAAACAATTTTTATTGCTGTAATGCAACTACTGTATTTAGTAATTATAACTTTAGTATAAATTAAATACAATAAGGTGTTACAAATTTGGTATTAGAGTAGTTCATCCTAGCAAGGGCCTGAGGATTAGACTGACTATGCTCCACGTATATTCTGTGACTTTTGGATACAATGCACTGGATTATGGTTAAATTATAGAAGTGCATTTGTAAGAGGTGCCTAATTGTGTGAGCTGTTATTTACTAGCACACTAAACTTAGTGTTGAGCCTGATCAACTCAATGACTCTTGTTTTGTGTGTTCAGAACTTAATGACTTCCAGACGGCGAGGTAGACTACAAACTATATCTGATCAAGAGGACCAGATCGATGATCAAGAGGACTAGATCGATTTTATGAACATGGTGTAAGAGATGGCACATGCCATGCGAGAACAAGCGACTGTAGCAACTCAAATGATGGTCCAATTGCGAATGTAGCTTGAGGCTAGTCACGAAGGGAATCCAAATGGTCTTGTAATGGATCTAGAGTATCTTAAATTTGTAGAATTTAGAAAAGCTAACCTGCCTAACTTTAGAGGGGCCTTTGATCCTAATAAGGTGGATGAGTGGATTAAAGCCATGGAAAAAGTCTTTTCTGTTTTGGATTGTATAGACTGTCAAAAGATGCCTTTGTCACCTACATGTTGGAAGCAGATGCGGAATTTTGGTGGAACAATGTACAATGATTATTAGAAGAATCCCAAACTGAAATCACTTGAAATGTATTTAGAGATTCGTTCTATCAAAAGTATTTTCCTGCTTCTGTCCATGATGCCAAGGAACAAAAATTTATGCAACTCCATCAAGAGAATAGTAGTATATTGGAGTATATCGCTAAATTTGAGGAGTTGTGTAAATTTTCCACAATCTATTAAAAGAACCCGATGAGTTTTGGAAGTGTGTGAAGTTTGAAGGTGGACTGCGAGAAGATATTCTTACTACCATAGGGCCAATG